GAGTGGTTGTGAAAGCAATTTTTTTAAGTGGGCGAGGGCTTGCTCGAATTCGGGCATCCACTCAAAGGTGGCTTCCTTGTGCAGGAGTTTGAACAGGGGGAGCGCGTGCTGGGCGGATTTTGCCACGAATCGGGAAAGAGAAGTGAGCATTTCGTTTAATATTTGTATGGATTTCTTCGAGGTGGGCGTTGGAAACTCGCAGAAGGCTCAACATTTGTCGGGGTTCGCCTTAATGCCTCGTTCTATCAGATAGAACCCTAGGAACTTTCCTGCTCGTACGCCGGGTGCATTTTTCTGGATTGAATCGCATCCAGCACTTTCGGGCTTGCTCGAACACCTTTTTCAAATGGGCAACATGGTAGAGCTCTTCGGTGGACTTGACGATCATGTCGTCCATATAGACTTTGAGCATGTCGCCTATCTCGTCGCAAAAGACTTTGTTCATCATGCGCTGGTAGGTAGCGCCCGTGTTCTTCAGGCCGAAGGGCATTACGTTGTAGTAATAATTGCCCGACTCGGTCATGAAGGAGGTATATTTTTTTGTCTGTTTTCGCCATGGGAATCTGGTTGTAACCAGAGTACGCGTCCATGAAAGATAATAGTTTGAAACCGACCGAATTATCGACCAGTTTGTCAATATTGGGGAGGGGATAAGCATCTTTCGGGCAGCCCGGTTGAGATCAGTATAGTCAAGGCATATTCGCCATTTTCCATTAGATTTTTTAACGAGGACTACATTGGAAAGCCAAGTTGTGTATTGGGATTTAGAAATAAAATGTGCCTCTAGGGGGTATTTTACAGTTTATTCAGAAGTGTGTGACTTCTCGGTCGACTGCTTTCTTCTGCATTGCACAACCGCCTTGATGGTGGAATCAATGGTCAGGTGATGGCATGCGACCTCGGGGTCTAAACCGGACATCTCATCCGCACTCCAGGCAAAGAGATCAGCATTCTCCCGTAGACAAGCTTTGAGTTGCCTTTTAGCCAGGTCGGGGAGGTCTGCTCCGATCTTTACTCCCCTGGTGGGGTCTTCTCCGAGGGGAACCAGCTCAAAGTCACCGTTCGGGATAGGCCGTGTGTGACTTGAGAGCTGGTTGTGGCTAGTAGAAGAGGTTGACCCTTCATCTTCGATCATAGGCTCTTTCCCCTTCTTCCTTTGCCCGACCCTGTCCTCCATGGAGAAGCGACTGTCGAGGCCAATAGTGTCGACCCTTGGTAGTGGCCTGGATTCCTCGGAGCTGGAGGGCAGTGTGGCTCGAGTGGCTGTTTGAGGCTGGGAGTTGATGGAGCTGAGGCCCTTCGCAGAAGCTTCGAAGCATCTTCTGGCTGCTTGGATGTCCCCATGAAGAGTGGCAACCAAATGCTCAGTCGTGTAGTATTTCATCTTGAGATGAATGGTGGAGGGGACCGTTATGAGCTCGGTGAGAGTGGGTCTCCCGAAAATGAATTGATAGAGGGATGGGAAGTCCACCACCAAGAATTGGGTCTTGATGGCTCTGACCGTTATCCCTCTCCCAAAGGTGACGACCAGCTCCATGTACCCCCATGGCTTCGTGCTGGCCCCGTTGAAACCTTGAAGATCAGAGCCCACGTAGGGGGTTAGGTGTCTCTCGTTCAGCTGCAGAGTGTTGAACAGTTAGGCATACATAATGTCAACCGAACTGCCCTGGTCGACCAAAATGTGACGCACGTCGAAGTTAGCCATCTGAGCTCTCACGAGTAGTGGGATGCTCGAATTCGGGGCTCCTCCTGGTAACTCTTCCCTGTAGAATGCGAGGGGGTGGGATCCTCCTCGAAACTTATCGAGCGTGGCGTCCAACTCAGAGTTGGCCTCGATGAGTTGGTCGAATCTTCTCTTCACCGATCCGAATGTATGCCTGTTGAACCCTCCGTCGGAAATGACCATGGCTACGGGAAAGGATTCCCACGGACTGTGGGTGGAGAAGTACAGGGGGACGTCCTCCATGTCCGGAAATTAGAAGTCTTCCGGCCATGAGATGCTCAAGGTGACTGGAATGGTGTCGAGGTCGGGGGATTTCTTCCCTTCTTCGACATTCTTTATCTCTGGTGCTTCATCATGGGCGGCCTTCTTCTTCGTATACTGTTTTAGGTGCCCGCCTCTGATTAATATTTTGATTGCATCCTTGAGATGGATGCAATCCTTTGTGTTGTGGCCGTGACTTTTATGGAACCTGTATTACTTGCTCTTGTCGATTCCTGGCTTCAACGGTGTTTGTCGGGGGAAGCGCACTCCAGCTTGTTTGAACTCTGAATTGGCGCATTCGGAAAGAATATGCTCTCTTGAGGTTGTCAGGGGGTGTAGTCGTGAAAACGACCAGCCGGCCCCTTGTAGTCTTTAGGATCACAGGACCTGTCCTCCCGTTTCTTCTCCCCCCAGTGGGATGTTGAGGGCTCGTCATTCTTTGAGGGTCTGGCGCTTTCCCTCTGGATGGATTCCCGGGCGTTTTTATCCGGCTCCTTCTCCTCGTACTGTATGTACGCCTGGGCCTTCAGGAGAAGGGAATCGAGCGTGGCTGGTGTTTCTATGCCCACAGCCTTGGCAAAGTCGCTGCGGGGACGGAGCCCGCGCTCGAGAAGATATTTCTTCATGTTGTCCATTGTCGGGACCTGGACCGCTTCTTTGTTGAAGTGTTCAATGTACACTCGCAGAGATTCGTCTCTTCCTTGTATGATTGCCTCGAGCGAAGCTTATGATTTAGGATGTCAGCGGGAGGCGGTGAAATATCTTGAAAACATCTTCCCGAGTTGTTTCAACTAGGTGATGGATTCGTCGGGAAAACTTTTGTACCATGCCATCGCCCCTTTCCTGAGAGTAGTCAGGAAGAGTCTGCATTTGATGGCGCCCCGGACCCCTATGTAATCGAGGAGTGCATTGTTGTTTTCAATATGCTCGTCAGGATCCGTCGTGCCGTCGTAGATACCTAGAGTGGGCGGCTTCTCTAGGACGACATGGAGTGGAGTTTCAGTGATCTCCTGGGATAGAGGGTCGTGGGGCTCGTCATCCTCATTGTTGACGGGAGATGGAGAAGGAGAGTGGTAATTTCTCCCCCGTCGGTCGTCGCAGTCCTGTCGAGGGGAGGGGCTCCTTCGCTTTTGCTTTGGCTCGGGAGAGGGCAGTCGAGCGTGGTCGATCTGGATGTTGTCCTTCCTCTTCTTGAACGAAGGGGAGTCTTGATCTCGGGCAGGAGGTGTGCGATTGTGTTTCTTGAAGAAAGAAACATCGCGCCTTTTCTTTATGGGCGATGGTCCATGCCTGGGTGGTGATGCATTAGGGGAACTTCGTCTTTGGGTCCTCCGTGGAGGAGATCTTGAACGCCTGTTTTCCAAGGATCCTATCCTTTGATTTTGTTGAAGGATGAGGGCGTTGGTCTGATTCAGGACAACGAGCAGTGTTGCCATGGCTGGATCGATGTTGACGAGGATAAGGACCGGTTGCAAGATTTATGGGAGTTCCTCAGCAGGATTCTTGGAACGCCCTTTGTCTAAGAGTCGACCGTCACCACGCCGGGCATCAGCAGAATCAGGGGACGCAGTTTGTCCGTCACAGGGGCCCAGGTTATCTTCAAGTCGAGGGTGTTCCTGGCCTCTATCAGTCTTGTGAACAGGGGAAAGGATGGTCTTTCCGGACAGGTAGAGATTATTATGGTCGACCATGATATGAGAGATGGTTCTTGAAAGAAGAGTTTCTTTGATCTTAGGTTCTGAGGGAAGAAAGATGGGGATAGCAGATTCCCACAGACGACGCCATTGATCTTGCGGTTGACCAGAACCTGGAGAGTGACAGGAGGATAATCTTCAGTCAGGCAGAGGAGAGAGGGAGTTATACCTGCAAGGTACTCCAACAAGCAAGTAAGAGTGGGAGTAAGGAGGTACTAGCAGAATATCAGGTAATGAGTAGTAAAAATGTGATATCTGGCCCTCACAAGTGTGAGGGTTTATATAATGCCCCTGGCGTGTGGCCATTGGTTCCTGATTTCCCGCATAGATATGCAGGTCCAGAAAATCAGGTAACTGCCAGGACTTGGTAAAACTGGGCAATATCACCCTCTTTCCCTTCTAGTGTAGCACCAATCCAAGATGCCCGTCGAGCATCTTCTCATCCTACCCGACATCAGCGCCGTGCATGCCACTAGGGATCGACTAGAGAGATACCATAACCAGCCTCCTCCCCGGAACCAACAGCTAGTTACGAGCACATCTGCCCGGTTTGACCAAGTCCTGTCAGTTACCTGATTTTTTGGACCCGCATATCTAGGAAGAAAATCAGGAACCAATGGCCACGCGCCAGGGGCATTATATAAACCCTCACACCTGTGAGGGCCAGGTATCACATTTTTACTACTCATTACCTGATATTCTGCTAGTACCTCCTTACTCCCACTCTTACTTGATCGTTGGAGTACCTTGCAGGTACAACCCCCTCTCTCCTCTGCCCGACTGAAGATGATCCTCCAGCCAGTCTCCAGGTTCTGATCAACCACAAAATCACCTTTATTTCCAATGATATAAAAAATATTTGATTTAGGGAAAAATATAATACGGTGGCAGTTTGAAAAATAAAATACAATTTTGTTATAAGGGATTTCACATCGGGTCAAGATTTGCCCCGATGTGAAAATTTCAAATATTAAAAAAATAAAAACACGATGGCAGTTTGGTAATTAAAATAATTTTTATTATAAAAGGTCTTTACATCGGGCCAATTGCTCCACCGATGTAAAAAAAAATTAAAAATGACCTTTACATCAGGCCTTAGTTACAGCCGATGTAAAATAGCCTGGCCTTTACATCGGGCCCTAGGCCCAAACCGATGTAAAAACAACGCCTTTTATTAAAAAAGTCCCTAACATTCCTATCCGCGTCGCATTCACAAACGTTCATCTTTCTCACTTTCATCTCTACCACTGTTATTCCTGTCACAAACCGCAAACCACCATTCCTCATCACAAACCGCAAACTTCATCTGAAGATTCCTCAAGATGCTACAACTTCCTCCGCCTCTCAAGATCTCCACGCGACCAACCACATCTCTTCCATTCATTCACCCATCACCACTGTGAGACATCAACACCCACCGAACCTCTATCATCTCTGTCAAACACCATCTCCATAACCACCTAGCCTTCAACATTCTGCTACCATATACTCTCACCTTCCTCAATGTTTTCACTCCGTTGAATCATCAACACCACTGACTGCATACTCCTTCCGAACTCTGCCTCAAACGCCCTTAGGCACCTTTCAGTTTCTTCTCCACCGCTCAGTTGTAACCACCATCAACTTTCATTTTCTTTATACAAATACATGGAGTTTCTGGGTTTCATGTTCTATGCAAGCTATCTTCATTTCTTACAATTTTGATTTATAGTTTTCTATTTTTTTTACTAATGATGAATATTGGTTGGTCCCATTTCACATTATTGGGAGGAGTTGGTTCTGTAGCATTTCTACCCCTATTTGAGCATGAACCCTTGTCTCTTTCATTTGCTCTATACAAATGCATCGCATTTCTAGGTTTCTTGTTGTGTGCAAGATATCTTCATATCTTTCAGTTTTGATTTATAATGTTCTATTTTTTTATTAATGATGAATATTGGTAGGTCTCATCTAACATTATTGGGAGGAGCTGGTAGTTTTTTCTGAATGTCGAAGGGATGTCACTTCAATTTTGTGTTTATATATGGATGCACATGTTACATACCTTATACACTCTTCTTTCCTGTGAACAGTTACATTTTCTATTATGGTTGAGAAAACCACAGTGATGTCACCTGAAGTGCGTGTTAGTGCAGGTGTTCCATGTTGCAGTACTAATTTTTAATGATTGTCATACTGTATTTTGTAAATTCTCTGGATAAGTTTCAACCATTAATTACTTACACTACCATTTTGCTGTGGCCTGTGGGTTTTTACAATCTTGTTGGAGATGTATATGAAATGCTCAAAACATTTAACTGTTTTTCTGTAGTAGTTAATGAGATGGAATTCATCATTACAGCATCTATTTCCATTTTGAATAATTTGTTCTAATTGCTCCACTGCTTCCATTTGGAATCATTTATTTGGTGTAGTTGATGAATATGAAGTGGTAGCAGTTTCAGATGGCCAGTGTTGATGTTTTTGTCAGAAACTAGGAATCCATAATGGTGTGGCAGTGTTTAGTTTATCCAGTTCTTTGTTGCATTCCATTAGTGTGGATTAACCTCGTCTTTAAGGGTTTTTTAGGTTTACTTTGACATAAAATTATATTTATCTTTGGTACATCATTGTTGTTGTTTCGGGAAGTTCCCATTTCTCATATACTGGGAAAGCCTAGTCGCATGCTTCATTCTCGGTTCCCTCTATTTTCCCTTTAATTTTTCTTGGAAAAATTGTTTTCCTTTTTTAAAAAAGAATAGCTTATCTCCATCCTAGTTGTTGTTTCCCTCTTTTTTCCCTAATAATATATTTTTAATAATGTAATCACAGATGTTGATAATCATGATGGAAATCATATTTTTCAGTGATTATTATGCATGGTGGTTCATACTTTATATGCATTTTGACTTTAACTTTCAATTGCATTGGATCATACTTTATATGAATTTTTAATAGGTTTGTCTTTACCTATTCTAGGCTTATGTAATTGACCATAGGAGTGCCACCAAAATCTTATCAAATTATTAACCAAATGAAGTTTCAAGATGTAATTCCCTAATTTTAATATCTTTGGAAGAATCATCCTAGTTAATACATATATATGTGCGTGTGTGTGATTTAATCGTGGGGCAAATACAAGGATTTTTAGGACGATACATGTATTCTAATATATGCTTCCTGTAAACATCCTTGTTCTTTCCATACAGAATCCCCTTGGGAATCAGTGTGGAACCACAGAGTTCTTGTCTTAAAGATAAAAAGAAGGGTGAAGGAGACTTTGTAGTCAAAGAACTATTTGTACAAGACGTGTTACGAAACAATTATCTGCTTCATGTACTCGGAAAAGAATCTCCTGTATTACTTCTTCCTCGCAGTTCAGTTGACATTTCTATTTGCTCAAAATTACGTGTCGGATGCCAGCAACAAAATGTGAACCCTGGATTTTCCATTAATGTATGCAACTCTAAGGGAATGAATTTCTCAAAAGGTTTTGTTTATGATGTTGGATATTGTCCCTGCCAATATAATCGAGTCTTGGATGCAGGTAAGAAAAATAACTCTATTATTTACATTGTATTTTACAACTTAATGTGAATTTCTTATAACTCTATATTGGTATTTAACTATTGTAGGTATTTGATGATCCAACAAAATTAACACAAGATGATTTGTATGATTTGCAACTCCATTGAGCAAAATGTTTCTTTGAGTTATATAAAAATTAAGTCTTATCTGGTGAGTTATATATATATATATATATATATATATATATATATATATATATATATATATATCTTTTGAGTTTCTTGACTTTGGTGTTGTCTGCTGATGTTAATTGGTGTTATTATTTATTGTCAGCAAATGTGATTTTGGTGTTTTTTGCTGAAGCTACAACTCATCTTCTTGTGGATTGCATGTTGGTATTTCAAGTGTGGGAAAAAACTTATAAATGGTTGGATATTTTTGTATAATTTCACTAGTTTTATTGTTGTTGTAATCCACCAGGTGTAAACTTCCTTACAATTTTGTACACTTGTGTGTATCCTAGATTAGTACTTTTATAAATCAATTGTTCATTTTGAAGAATATGTATGTGCATCCTAGCTATTTTGTGCAATGAAATTATCCTCACTTGTTAGAAAAATATGAAAATTGCGACCTAAATATGGTCAGTGTGATGTGAGAAAAATATGAAAAATAACGACATAAATGTGGTTTGTGTAATGTTGGAAAAATATGAAAAAATTAGGTACAAAAAAAAATTATAGGAAATCCACCTCGTTTCTTATATAAAATAGCAAACATATTACATCGGGCCATTGAAGCAACCGATGTAAAAACTCATATATTACATCGGGTCGTTGAGGCAGCCGATGTAAAATCCAATATATTACATCGGGCCATTATGTAACCGATGTTAAATATTGCATATATATATTTTTTTTAAATTGTATTTTTTCACATCAGGCCTATCATTCAACTAATGTGGTATGTGGAATTTTTTACATCAGGTTGTTGCCCGATGTAAAATGTCTTTGATTTACTACATCGCTTGGATTTACATCGGACCCGGACCCGATGTAAAATGTACTTTTCGCCCGATGTAAAAAGTCTTTTCTGTACTAGTGGATATTCAATGAAACGAGGATCCAGTGATCTATATCAAGATTGACAGTGATAACGATGAATCAGATTCAAAATTCTTCAAAAATATGAACTTGTAGATTGAAACAAAAAATAATGTATAATAAGAAATTTATATTTTAATTAAACAAGGGATATATATATATATATATATATATATATATATATATATATATATATATATATATATATATATATATATATATATATATATATATATATATATATATATATATATATATATATATATATATATATATATATATATCCCATCGAGCATTTTACAAATTGAGAGGTAAAGTAGTGTGTTTTAAAAAAATTTGAATATGCAGATGTTGGGTATCGAATTCACTATCAATTCCACCTTTTCTCTCAGCTGCAGATAACCCGAGGGGAAAAGTGGCGAGTTTCCACGACTTCCTTTGTTATGTCACCAAGAAAACCGAGGTAATAACCATTTTCCAGCCGAGGTAAAATATGTTATTCGTAGTAGTGCTTCATTTTTCATTTTTTCAAAACTCTCTATTTTTTTATAAACTTCCAAACATAATCTTAAGATAAGAAATGTAGTAGCTCTTCTATCTTATTTTTTGTCACTACTACAAATAACGCTTGTAACGTCGAACGCGAAATACGCTTTACCTCGGCAATAGATGTTAGGTGAATATGGTCGTCATAAAAATTAAAGACTTACCACCACCACCTCCGTGTTTAAAATACTGAGGTAAAATTTTATTAGTGCATGAGTTCGAACCCGAACAACTGCAACTTTTATTATTTATAAAACTAGTATATCTTTTATTTCGGTTTATCAAAATAATCGAGGGGTTATTAGTTTTTTTAAAATAAAATTCATTACATTGTTTACTCAGAATATTACGTTTTTTACATAGAAAAAATATTAATTGTCCATGAAGATCATATGTTGGATCTTCAATTATTTGATATTCTGGACAAGATCAAATGCTGAGAAACTCTTTTCTACCAACAAAAAAAGGGTTAGGTAAATTAATTTTCCCAAGATATAGATTTTAGATCTTTAAATCATATAATTTTAGGGTAGATCAAATGATGAGTGCAGGATATTCTCTATGACTTTTGCTTGCATCTGTTTCTGATATGAACAAAAAAATGGTTAGACAAAAAAGAGTTAGATAAATAAATTATTTTCTGCTAAAATAAATATTTAAGAACACAAACCTTAAACCAAAATAATTTTCTGCTCTTACAATCCATCATCGAGAACTATTCATGGAAAACACTCTTGCAAATCTTAAACTCTTCATGATGTTCGTTTTTGCTCGCATTGGTTTCTGATATGAATAAAAAAAAGGATACACAAAAAAAGGGTTAGATAAATAAATGATTCTCTGCACAAATAAATATTTAAGAATGAAAATATTAAACTATAGAGAACTCTTCATGACAAAGACTCTTGCAAATCTTAAAAGTTGAGCACTAATGGTAATGTCTTGATAGTTTCAGAATGATTTTATAATGGAAGTAATTTATGTTTCGCGCGGTAATATCTTGATCGTTGATAGTCATGAAATGGACAACAAGGATTTGATTAAGGATTTGATAAATATCTCAATTTGTACGCTAAACGTTACCTCAGTTTTTAGGATAACTGACGTGTTAGAACATTTAATTTACAAATAAAAACTACAATTAAAATGGAGGTTCCAATTTTAGCGCTCAATTTTAATGCTAAAATGTCCCCTCAGTTTTTATGGAAACCGATGCGTTAGAACATTTATATTACCAATAAAAAATACAATTAAAACATAGGTTAGAACACCGACATGGCACACATGCATTAGAATAATATCACTTAGCTAGAATAGAAATGATCATATATATTCAAGTTGTAATGTCTCTTTTGAATTATCAATGACACTTTTGAGCTATTTAAACATCTTATTACCAACTCGTTGTGTCTTCAAACATTGTTTCAAAATCTTTTCCTATTTTCAATGTCTCATTACCAACTCTTTGTGTCTTATCTTCAAACATTGTTTCAAAATCTTTTCCTATTTTCAACGTCTCATTACCAACTCACTTGATCGTTTTCAACTAAGACAAGTTGTTAACAGACAAAGGTTGAATGATTACTTTCAGATTCTTAACGTCCTCATATACACTAATCTTGTTAAAGAGTTTTGGATGAATGCATCCATTGTACAAGCTGGTCATGATGAATCCATCCAGTCCTATGTCAATGGCTCTCATTACTTCATTACTCCATCACTGATTACAATGACAATCAACTATCAAGAGACAAGTAGTTGTGTTGAACACTATGAGTTCAACAATGTCTACTCAACCCAAATTCACCGAATTTATGTCAACCAAGCAAAGCTCTCCAGTCCTGCTTCTCTAATCCCAATTATAAAATTTTGGTTTCAACTTCTAGTGGTGAATCTCCGCCCAAGAGAGAAAGACATGGAAAACGCTTACTTGGTATGACAAACATCTCTTGTTATTCCTCACATACAATATCAGAGTTAATCTTTCTTTGACCATTTTCAACTTCTTGAAGGAATTGATAAAGTCTTCTCGAGAGAAAATGACTTTCCTCATACCTTATGGAAGAGTTCTTTAAGAACTTTTCTATAAGTTAGGGATAGTTAGGGGTAATGTTGAAGTTCAATGGACTGAGAAGTTTGAATTTGTTGAGTAGTTTTCTTTGTTGTGTTGTTTTTTATTATTTTCAATGTAATATTTTTTTTCTATTATTACTTATTCTTGTTTTCTAATAATAAAATTTTTAGAGTGTTGGAAAAGACGTCAAGTGATAAACCGTTGAAATTTTTTTAAATGTGCAACGGGGATTCGAACTGAGGTTCCTTATAGGTATGTTACCTCGATTCTCAAGAAAATCGAGATAACAAGTTTATTAATTTTTTATGGATTAAAAAAGCGCTAACTTATAGTTGTGTTACCTCGGTTTTCTATAAAACCGATGTAACATGTTGTTTATCTTATTAAAAAATAAAACATTACGCTCCCAGAACATATCCTCTCGGTTTTTAGCATGTTGGAGATGAAAGCTTTGTCATAAAAAGTGTTATTCATTGTAGTGTGTTCAACAATTCTAACTAAAAAAAGGCATGTCCAACTATACAGGTCAACCGATTTTTATGAATCTATTTTGGGCTTGACAACTCATAATAGGATTTATTTTAAGACATTAACTAAAAACGTTAAATAGGGATGGCAATTAAACCCATTTTCATTGGTTACCAGCAAAAATTACCTACAACAAGTAGGATAAAAATCCGCAAATAGGTACGGGCACAGGTAATTATCCCCTAATATGAGTGGGTATGGGAGCGGGTACGGGTACCTGAGTACCCACCCCCATGCACGCACAATATATATATATATATATATATATATATATATATATATATATATATATATATATATATATATATATATATATATATATATATATATATATATATATATATATATATATATATATATATATATATATATATATATATATATATATATATATTATGTACACATTTTAATTTATCAATATTGTTAAATACATCACTATTAAATTTCTACGCATTTTAATATAAATATTAGTTGATTTCTTAACTCAACAATAACATCCTCGATTTTTTCTAATGTTGTTAAAAAGTTAAATGACATGATAAATTATAATTGATTGGTTATGGGCTTGCATTAGTGCTCAAGTTGGTTATGGGCTTGCATACATAGATTTTTTCAAACTTCGAGTATAGGGACGAGTAATATACTACCCTTCCCAAACCCGACCCTAACGTCAAATAAAAACCATACAATTTTTTCTGTGAAATAATTCGCTTAGAAGTAGTTTAGAAAATGCTTGGCTAGGGGTCGCAAAATGAGCCCGGTCCGTTGGGCATGTCCGTTTTGCTTGTACTTTAGCGTGAAGCGGGCCAAGGATTTAGGCCCTCGCCCTCTAATGTGACCGTCCCACACCACCCCATTTTCTTC